CCCCAAAACCCCAAAACCCCAAAACCCCGGGGAATTAGATGGAGATTGGATTATTAATTATTTTGAGAGAGATGAAGAAGTGTCAGCAAGGGGACTTTTTGGAGGGGGAAATGGAGAGGAAGGAAGTTCAAATGGTTGGGAGATTTGGGAAAAATGGAGATGAATGACAAAGAAATGGGATTGTTGTTGAAGGATTATCGTTACCTTTGGAGAATCCTGAATTAATTTTACCTAATGAGGTTTTCAGTGAAACTTCATTAAAACCAATAGAGTCATTTGATGAAATTTCTGTTTCAATGGTTGAAGCGATCTCTTTGCTTCAGGATCTAAAATCAACTAGAGCTGTAAGAAAAGATGTTCATCGTAGGAAGATGCTCAGAGCCATCAAGAAGTTCTTCTACGAGTTATTTAAACACCTTAATAACAAGTTATTCAACAAGAGGTTGGCAAAGGTAAAATCTACTAAAATTCTGGAAGCCTTGAAAACACTTTGCAGGGTGTATATCTCCCAATCAATTCCTGATGAAATGGCTGAGTTCATGTTCAAGGTCATGAATCTGAACAGCCTTGACTCTCCTAAAGAAGACAGTGAAGCCTTTAGATCAGGAAGGAAAGTCCATGACTGTATCCAAAGTTATAATGACCAAAAGTTTGAAGAACTTTTTCTTTCTGAATATTTTAGAATATTTATCATTGCATTTATTGAGTTAAGGAATAAAAGCAATGATTCCTTAGCTGATATAAAAGCGTCTATGGTCTGGGAGAATCACTTTAATCGATATGACAACACTTTCAGCACAATTATCGAAGAGCTTCTGCACAAACCAATGGAGGAAAGTTGAGAAGCAAGACTTCAAGAAGCATATATTTGAATAATTGAATTTTAAGTTTCCAAATAAACTTATCTGATCGAGGTTAGATTTTTAGAGTTAAAAATATGTTAAAACTTGGTAATTAGTAAAACATTTGCATTTAAGAGACTTGGAAATACAAAATTTTTCGCAAAAAAATTCATAGTAGATATTTCTGGGATTGGCAAGGTAAGAATCTGATTTAGGACTAATAATTTTAGCCAAATCTGAATTATTTGGTCACCTAGTATCCATTTAACTCTCAAAAAATAAGAGTTAAAAGTTTGTGTGCGATTCCCATCAGCTTTTTGAGGTCTGATCTGGCTGGGTACTAAATTATTTAGAACTCAAAGTTTTCAGCCCTATCTTCATGTATAGCTTCATATAGTTCCTCATGTTATTCTTAAGCTTTAAATCTGCGTTTAAAGCTCATATTATAAACATAGTTATACATATTTCTTGAAAGGGCAATTAATTCATCCATAATTTTGCTTAACATAATCTGGGAACGGATTCTTGGAAATGTTTTCACAAAATAATTTAAATATTCATAAATTTAATTGAGCTTTAGATAGTATCTAAGTGAGATTTTACAGTGTCTAGTGGTGATAAGGGATCTAGAGACGCTAAATTTGCGTTTATTTAATCATTCATAACTTTCAGATTTCCTTGTTTTAATAAATCGGTGAACCAAATTTTTCTGCAAAGTAAGCGAAGCTAAGAATGTTTATTATAAAGACTTAAAAAAGCCTCTAACTGCCTCCTACAGTTCAAACGATAGTATGACTTCCTTTACTTAAGTTTTTGAAAGACCTAATTATTGGAAATTTTGGAGTTTTAGCAAAATTCTCAGATTAAAAATGAAGCTACCAATTAAATGTATGGAACATACTAAATCCTAAATTTATTGAAATAATGCACTATGTGATCAAACCCAGTGATGGTTTATCACATCCTTAAGTTATTCAGCACCCAGCCAGACATTATTAAGATTACTCATAATTTTAACATGAATAAATATTTCAGTATCCTTTAGTCATTGGAGAGAAGAAAGTGATAAAAATGATGTATCTGGGCTAGGAGAGGCATCACTGGAAGATACCAGATGCTTCTGATTGTAGCAGATAAATTCAAGTATATTAAGAAATTTTGCATAAGGCTAGAGAAGCTTTCCTGAACAAAAGAAAAAGATATTTGAAATTTACGGATTGACAATATTTATCCTGAATATATTCATCAGTTGGGAACGATATTGGGGTTTTGGGGTTTTGGGGTTTTGGGGTTTTGGGG